TCCCTTCCCTTGGGATGTACAGGACTTACAGCAGTACGCTTACACACAACCTAGCCTATCACCCGGGTGCTAGTCGGCTTCTTCTAATAAACACAGACAACGTACATCTCTTCTTATCTTGCCGCCAACCGTATGCATCACGGCCGTTCGCACGAGTCCATCTCCGTCTGTCTCCGCAGCATCGATGATGCCCGTGGGCTATTTGCCACGTGTTGTAGTTTCAGATGCTATCAATAAGATGTCGCCTGATTTGAAATTTCGATGCTTTGTCGCACTTGCAGGGTTGGTATGTACTCCCTCATCCATCGACACCAGAAGTTATTAGAGAAGTTATTTACTTGTCTCCACCATCATGTATAACTCTCCATCATTGTGAGACCTAGGTTTTGAACGTTCTCCGTTAATAACAATAAACTGTTCGGAGACAGTGCTCTTCTTTCCTTATCATCCGACAAGCACGGTACTAGTGGTCGGCTATTGAATATCCTTTTGATTTCTACAAAACAAGTTGACAGCGTTTCCTTGTTCACTAACTGCCCCTTTGTCAACACTAGCAGTAACCTGCGCATGGAGCGGATCATTCTCTCCCATACACGTCCCCTATGACTTGAGGAAGAAGGGCTAAAGAACCATATTATTCCATCACATGCAACACGGTCGTTAATCTTGTGTTCATCCCAGCGTTTAATTGTATCCTTTAGTTCTAATACGGCACCCAAGAAATTTGATCCGTTATCGTTATAAATCTCTAAAGATCTTCCTCTTCTACCGATGAATCTCAATAGACACAGGATGAACGAATCTGTATTGAGACTGCCCGCTATCTCCAAGTGCACGGCTCGGGTCTGTAAACAGGTAAATACGCAGCCATATTTTTTGCCGAACCACGACCCTTGCGAACAAGCAGAGAACCAAAATAATCAACTCCCACAGCACCAACCCTTTTGGACCCTACATAGCGGTAGGGGAACCATCATCTGCTGACCTGCAGAAGCTATCATTTTCCGGCATACTATGCATTGACCTATTACTCGCTTNATGATAGTGGCGAACAGTAAGATCAGTCACATGATGTCGATTGAGTAGGATCACCGGATGCTTGAAATGGGATGAGTAGTTTGCGTAACTAAGTCGCCCACCTACATATGGCAAGCCACCTATCATAACTGAACAAAGCTTCCTCAAAGAATGCAGCGTGTTTCCGTTTCGTGCTTCTTGAAGTTTTGCCTGTAATGTTGATTCACCGAATGTTTTGTTCTGCACAATTCTTAAAATCTTCCATCGAGCTGCGTCCATTTATTCGACAGGGAGGTTTCCTACGCTCAAGTCTAATGTAAGAGATGAAATGAATAATCTATGCAACTGCCTTTTAAAGTTTTGATCATTGAAAGTAACGATGCAGAAGCTGTTCTAGTTTTATCGACATAATAGCTGTGTTCACGTGTGCTACAATTTTCTTCATCTCCACGCCATCCGGTTGGGACGATAATCGAGATAAGGCCTGTGCAATATAGCTCTGTAAATACATCGGCCCCTCTATCCATGTCTCTGTTCTCCTTTTGTTCATATACCTCTCGAATTAAAATCAGCAATATTTTGTTCGGACCGGATGTGACGCCATTGGGACACCGTGGAGTGCCGATGGATAATTGCTAACCGATTGGCAACGAATGTACTGGAATGTGTTCAATTATTTTTATATAATATTTGACAATCATTGAATCCGTCCAGTACCACACCTCGCTGAACATCTCCGATAGAGCCCTTTTTATCAACTCGCCTGTCTTGATTTTGAGGACTGTCGCAGACAATTCCAGTCGCGGTATGAATACGGGTTTGATAGATACCACTCGAGACATACTGAACAGCCAAACGCTGTAAGCCTGTTTTCTTGCTGGAATACAACACGCGTAGGCGACGGCCCCATAACCTGGCTCGAATGCATCACAGAAAACCTGCAACGCTGTTCTCTTTCCTTCTCCCAAATCTTCGTTTCTAATACTTCTTAATCACTTCTAGAAACCTAATAAAGCGTACACAGCCTTCCCAAATACTGGCATCTACAGCATTGAGAGGTTGGTTCCAACCCATTTTGAATTTACACAATGTTTGTAACAACTGCTTTGCTGAGAGGCATAGAGGGGCTACAAGGCCTAGCGGATCGAACCAGGAATTGACGCGAGATAATATACCTCTTCTTGTCACCGGCTTATTTAGTAACTGGAACTGGAACCTATGAGCATCCCTTATTGTGTCCCACGGCACACCCAAAGCTCTCTGGTAACTGGAATGAAATTGAGGCAGTTGAACCAGGTTGGTAATCGTGCTGTCTTCCGAGAGGGATTATGCAAGTTCCGGTGAATTAGAT